TCCCGAAACTCTCCTGACTCTCTGTTGCCACTCCCTCCCCTTTCGGGACTTCCAGAGCTGGTTTTGGTTGTCTCTACTCTTGGCTACTCTCACCCAGACAGCCGCTAGATTGATCTACCTCAAACCCAGGCCTGGTCATGTAAGCACAGGGCTAAGAACCTCCACCAGTGTCCCAGAGCTCCAGGGACCAGAGCGGAGCCCCTCAGCATGGCCCAAAGGCCCAACACACGGCCCGGCCTCCGCCTCCGCCTCCCTCCTGGAGCACCCTGTGCTCCAGCTGCAGAGAGCTGTTTCCTCTTCCCAAACATGTTGCCTCTGTGCCTCTGGCCTGGCACCACCCTCTAGGGGACACTGCTGCCACCTGCCCCTCTCAGGTTCAGCACACGTACAGGTCTGCAGATTCTACGTTCAATCCCTGGCCCAAAGCAGGCATTCCATGTAGAGTACAAATTCCTGTTCTACCTGAGAATCCAAGTCTTCTCCTTTTAAGCAGAGATTGGCATCAAGAACATTGAGGCCCACCAGCAGACCAACGATCACCATCCCTTCTTCCTCCATCATCAGCGCTTCGGGCTCATAGAACTCACTAAAAGAGAGTGACAGTTCACCACCCCTTCTCCCCAACGGCCCTGCCTCCCACAGCCCTGCCTTTGGCCTCCTCAGATGACTGCCTGGCTGCCAACTTCCCCAAGAGCCAGAAGCTCCCTGGTGTGAATTTCCTTCTGCCTCTTATTTCCTTCTCCACCTCAAGGGTGGCTATTTCTTCTCTGGCCTTCCCTCCCTTTCAGGGGCTTCGATGGGCTCTTCCTACTTCCAGTCTAAGGCTCTCCTCTGTTTGGCCTTGGACTGGACTCACCTTTCCATCTCCTCCTGGCTCCTTTGTTCCTGACTAGTACTCCACCCATCCTGTCTGCAATTGGATCCTTCTTCCACATTGCTATGAACTAATTCTACACCTACACTCATGTCAGAGGGGAGCAGGGTCCCAGAGAACCCCTGCATCCAAGAGTAAAACTCTTCCCTCTTTCCTGCATCCCACTGAGCAAAGTGCAGATGCTGGCTGCTTGTACTTCCTTATCTCCTAGTCGCCTCAGCCATATGCAGTGGGGCCCCATCCCTGTCAATTGTTACATGTGTGCAAGGGCATGAGAACATTCTGTCTGAGAATTTGCTCATTAGCAGAAAATCTGTACCTCAAAGTTACTCACTGTAACTGTACTCAAAGGTCAAAGGACATGAAATATTTGAAATCAGTATTTGTCACGTAAAGATATGTTCAATCAGAAGCCATGGCTTGAAAACAGTGAAAAAGTTTGGGTGGCAGGCTCATACTCTAAGACATTTACCTCATTTCAACAAGAGAATTAACTCTAGAAAGAGTCCTCCCTTACTAATTCTCATATTCTAGAGAAATTCCCTCTATAAAGATTTTTGTTTGTATAGTTATAAAAAATAACCAGTCATAAGTATCAGAGATAGCCAGTTGGTCTCTACTGATGCTAAGAGATTCAAAATTTGACAAACTGGATATGGAATCCTGAAATAGGTTATAGAAGTATGGTCTCTTACAAAAAGCAGAGGTTTATACTCTAAAATTGCCCACTGCATCTAGTGCTAAAATCATTTTTTCCTATTACCTTCCAATCTAATAAATACAATTTTGTTGAAACTTGAGGGAGTAGGTTGTCAGTTACTCAGTCTTAGGAATTTCTGAAGGACTGTCTTCAAAATTACTTTTCAAAATGAAAAGCAATATATAAATCTTCATTCATAATGACTTTTAGGTATTGCTGCTCAAAAGATGAAATAAAGCTGATCCTTGAACAACACTGGGGCTGGGGATGCCAAACCTTGTAAAGCCAAAAATTTGAGCAAAAGTTTTGACTCCCCCAAAACTTAAGTACTAATAGCCTACTATTGGTTTATGGTAGTAAGTGATAAAATAGACTGGTATCTATATATGTGTTACGCACTCATGACATACCTAACTTCTTATTTTTTGGTATTTCTAGACTATGTGGTTCATTTGTGAATTTTTTCAAATTGTTGCAAAATTCAAAAAAATTTCCCATACATTTATTGAAAGAAATCCACATGTAAGTAGACCTGTGCGGGTCAAACCTATGTTGTTTAAGGGCCTTTTAAGTAAACCCGTGTTGTTTACTGCTCATTTAAAACTAAGTCATGGAATATTTACGATTAATAATAATTCGCATAAAATCTGTGGACATTATATATTCTTTATTTCAAAATGATCTCTAGAACTATGTTCTAATTATTTACAAAGCAAAAGATGAGCAAAGATAGGTGCTGAAATACCTTAAGAGATGTTTACTGTCTATAAGCACTTTCAGATAATCTGCCAGTTTCTTTTGCATGAGTGCAAGATACAGCCAGGCTCTGCCTCTTCCCACAGCTGTCCTAGAATTCAGAGAATCAAACCGTTAGGGCATAACAACAACGAAAACAAAGAAAAACTCAATCTAGCCAGAGAGAGGCACACATTCCCACATGGACACATTGTGAGTGCAGAGAACACTGCAGGAGGGCTGCTTTGAGGCTGAGGGGCACCACACTGCCTGGATGCCCGAGACCCCTGGCTACTCTTTCAATTGTCTATCACGGGAATGTTTTTTGTTTTGTTTTGTTTTGTTTTATTTTTTGATAGAAGAGGAAAAAAAATCTCAATCCATGAAAATCTGATTTCTAGAACAAATACACTTAGATAAAATTTTGCATATATTCATGATGTTTCACAGGGAGCCAGGAAATATTAGATTAGCTAGATCTGCATATGGACAAAGATTCTTTCAAAGGATGAATATGTGGAACATAGTGTTTGTTGAAGTGTTGAAGTCTGACGGGATTTCTAAGGCATTAGCTCAAAGGTGCAATTATATTTTTAATGTGATAAAATACATAAAATTTACCTTTTTTAGGTGGCTATTTCAGTAGTGAAGTACATTCACATTGTTGTGCAACCAGTCTCCAACACGCAATTTTGAAAGGGCCTGATTTAAGCGTCAGAAGAAAAGAAAGCCTCCCAACAGCAGACCTGACACTGTTTAAGGAGAAGACTTGGACTAAGCAGAGCACCTGCATCTGTAACCTCCAGGAAAATATTAGAGGCACTGCTGTAATCCGTTTCTGCCTTGAAAGGAGCTCCCGGTGGCTGAAGGCCTCGCTCTGCGTCCCGGGGCTTTCAGGAGCGAGGTCCACAAGGGTTAACTAACTTCGCCACTACAAAGGGCTTTGAGCCTCCCACCCTCCAAATGATGCTAAACCAGAGTAAAAAGGAAATAAAGTAGGGAACAAGATATTTAATTTTGGCATGAGGTGTAAAACAGACAGGTGCTGCTTGGTGGGAGCATAACGGGACACAGCTCTTAGGGCAGGCGATTGGTGGCCACAGGTTTCCGAAATTCTACATCTAGTGGTATGTCCTAAGGCATTTTAGTTTCGGACGTACACAGACATGTATGTTTGAGGATGGTCACCACTGCACTGTTTGGATAATCAGAATTTGAAGACAACTACAGAGCCCAAAGGGGCGGTAAATAAATGAGCTATACAACCAAATGCTATGAGCCCGCTTCAAAATGATGTAGCTGAATAGTTGACACAGAAAGGTGTTTAAAATCTAACACTAACATCAACGTTAGAAATCTTTTTCTGAAACAAAAGCAAAAATAAACAAGTGGGACTACATTCAACCGAAAATCTTCTGTCCAGCAAAGGACACCATCAACAAAATGAAACGGCAACCTATGGTATGGGAGAGCATGTTTGCACACAATTGATCTGATAAGGGGCTAATATCCAAAACATATAATGAACTCACATACTGAACACCAAAAAAATATATAGTATCATTAAAAAATGGGCAGAGGACCAGAGTAGACATTTTCCCAAAGACATACAGATGGCCAACAGGTACATGAAAAGATGCTCCACATTGCTGATCATCAGGGACATGCAAATCAAAGCCACAGTGAGCCTCACACCAGTCAGAAGGGCCATTATTCAAAACACAAGAAATAACAAGTGTTGGTGAGGATGTGGAGAATCGGGAGCCCTCCTACACTGTTGGTGGGAATGTGATTGGTCCAGCCAGTGAGGAAAGCAGTATGAAGGCTCCTCAAAAAAACTTAAAACTGGATATACCATATGACCTAGTAATTCCACTTCTGGGAATCTACCTGAAGAAAGGAAGTCATTAATTTGAGAAGATATATGCATCCCTATGTTTAATGTAGCACTATTTACGATCACCAAGATATGGAAGAAACCCAAGTGCCCATCAATAGGTGTGCTACATATACACAATGGAATATTACTTAGCCATAAAAAAGAAAGAAACCTTGCCATTTGTGACAACATGGATGAACCTAGAGAGTGTTATACCAAGTGAAATAAGCCAGGCAGAGAAAGAGGAATAACATATAGTTTTACTTATCTGTGAAATGTGACAAAACAAATAAAGCAGGAACAGATCATAAACACAGAAAATGAACAATTGGTTCCCAGGATGGGGGCAGAAATAGGTGAAGGGGATAAAGAGGTACAAACTTCAAATTATAAAATAATTTAGTCACAGGGATAGTAGTATAGCATAGGGAATACAGCTCATAATATTGTAATATCTTTATATGGTGACAGAAGGTAACTATACTTATCATGGTGACCATTTTAAGGAAAAGGAAACTGAGGCTCAGAGGATGCAAATTTTGCTCAAGATCATGTGACTAATGAGCAGCAGAGCTGGGACTGAAGTCTAAGTACAGTGTGACTTTTGCTCCAGTGTGTTCTGATAGCAGGGGACCAGGGCGAGCGCTCCTCTTGCACAGGGAGGAGTTACACACAGGAGGCATTTTTGAAGTCCTGTTACACTAAGAAGGAGCTCACTGTCAGCTAAACCCACTGTTTCCTCTTAAACCCAGTGGAGCAAGCAAGGGACAAGCCTAAATATTGAAGTCCTCCCTGTCTGCCAAAAAGTAAATGCACAGCAGGTCCCATCTTGATGCCTGGGGAGGAGCGGCCTCACTGGGGGCCCCATGGGAAAGGACAGCTGTTTAGCTCCATAAAGAACTGCGGTGTTTTACTATTTAAAAGTTCTAAAATCTCTACAGCAGTTTGGAAGTTATGACTAGTGTATTTTTGGGGAAGAGGCATACACTTTGAATTATAAAATAATTTAGTCACAGGGATGGAAGGACAGCACAGGGAATATAGCTCATAATATTTTAATATCCTTGTAAGGCAACAGGTGGTAACTACACTCATCACAGTGAGCATTTAGTAATGTATCTAATGGATGAATCACTAAGTTGTTCATCTGAAACTAGGCTTCACTCCTGAGAGGGGAGGGGAAGCTGATCGGAAGGTGGGGGACCACATGAAGAAAAACTGAAGAAACAAGGCAGAATATGTGGGAGGCTCACGAGGGGTCACCACATAAGTAACTGAACACTGTCACATGCAGAAGGACCTTGTGTGATACAGGCCCAGGGGGCTCAACCAGGGAAAGGGGCAGAAGGCTTCAATTTGATCTCGAGGAATGCACAGGGCAGGGGGCAGCGGAATGTAGTGAAATTAGAAGGTTTCAGAGCCCAACAGCCCTGTGTTCTCTTCCTGGCTCCCCACTCACTTGCCAAGGGACCTCAGGCAAGTTCCTTAGCCCCTCAGTCTCAGTTTCTCAGCTATCAGTGGGGATACCAACAACTTTCCTACAGCTTTGTTGTGGAGGACTAAATGGGAAGAGATGTCTTAAGCACAATGCCTGGCACATGGCAGCCGTTAATAAATGGTGATTGTGATTATCTGAAAATTGAACAGGCTGGCTCCACAGAAGTCAAATCAAACAAGGCTAGACAGTCAAGTTCCCCCAGGAGACTCTTTTGCATTGGCCCAAGGATCTCTAGGGCCCCTTCTAAATGTAGATGCCAGGATGATGCCTTGTTTGTGTTCTGTCCAGTTTTTAAAATTTTGAACCTATGCATAGGGATTCCGAGGGCAGACCCACACATGGCAAATGATTCGTGGGTCCCAGCCTTTTCACAAATGTCCTATGTCCTGGAATCTAAAATCTGGCCCGAACTGTATTATTCAGAAAACTGCCCAGCTGCGTCTGAAGCAGTGACTGCAGGAGTGTAACAAGGACTTCTTTTCCTCCTGTAACTGCTCCTCAGGGGATGACACATTCGTGAACTATTTGACCTTGTGTGACAAGCAGGAATCACTATCTCCATTTTAAGGAAAAGGAAACTGAGGCTCAGAGAGCACATTCTGCTTCAAGATGTTGTTGCTAATGAGCATCAGGGCTGGGACTAAACTCTACTGCGTGACTCATGCTAGTGTGTTCTGAGTCAGAAAAAGCTTTATCAGTTAGGAACTGAGAAATGGGGAGTCTTTTTCACATCAAATCGGTGTAACTGCTTCACACTCACTTTAGCTCTGGCAGATTTCTGACACTAGTGGCTATATCTGATGCTTCTGGACAAAGTTTCTCCACCAGCTCCAAAGGCCCAAAGAAAGATTTATTTTGGCCAATAAAACTCTTCTTAACTAAAATAAAAGGGAAAACAGAAGTGTTATTCATAAGAACAGGTTTGCAAAATGTCTTCAGAGGCCCACAGTCTCTCCCGCAAAAGCCAGATGAATGATGCAGAGCTCTACCACTTCATCCTTTCTGAGTTGGTCTCAGCGACTGGGAAAGGCCAGCCAACAAATGAGCTCTCCTTTCCCTGGACAGGGTTTCTCTGATCGACCTTTTGTGCTCTAACTCCAAGTACTTATTCCATGAAATAACCTTCCTATGATCACCTGCAAAATCCTTGCCCGTTCTCCCTCCTATCTATGCCAAAATCAGTGATTGACTTCAAATCATCACCACCATCCCTAATCTGAACTGCTACCACAACCTTCTAATGGGTCTCCTTGATCCTAATATTGTCACCTCCCTACCTTCACAATCTATTTTCCACACATCTGGAAGTTCTCTTACAAATGTAAGTCAGGTCATGTTTTTCCACTTACATTTTAAGTACATTTAAAGGATTTTAACCTCCAATACACTTAGATTAAAATCCAACTCACCTGACCTATAAAGGTCTATGTGATCCAGTCTCCCTCTATCCTCCATTTCCCTTATTCTATTTTCTCCCATCAGCCCTCTCGGCACACTCAGTTACCCAGTGTCTTCCTTAAACCAAGGCTGTCCCACTCAGGACCTTTGCACTTGCTTTTTTTCCCCCTCTCTCTAGGAATGCTCTTGCCCCAAATCTTTGCATGGTTAACTCTTACCTCTACTTTAGGTCTCATTTGGTCTCAGCTCACATTTCACCTCCCCAGAAAGACCGTCCCCTCTCACCCTAGCTGAAAGGCTTTTTCCTTGATATTCTATCATTTAATCCATTTTGCTTCCTTGAATTTGTAGCATTTTATAATTAGGGTTGTTTGTTTCTGTGTTTATGGTTTGTCTGGTCTTCTAGAGTTGTGCCGTCCAAGACAATCGCTGGTGACATGTGCTACTGAGCACTTGAAATGTAGCTGGTGCAATTGAGATGTGTTAGTAAGTATACAACACAAAGTTGATTTTTAAGCCTTAATATAAAAGACAATGTAAAACATCTCATTAATAAGGCTTTTTAATACTGATTATGTGTCAAAATGGTGGTATTTTAAGTACATGGGTTCAATAAGGTATATTCATAAAACCAGTTTCACCTGCTTCTTTTTACCTTTTTTAACATGGCTACTAAAACAGTAAAAATTGCTCGCCTGGCATTTCTGTGGGATAGCGTTGTTCTAGAACGTCGAGCCTCGTGGGCAGGAACCTTGTCTGTGCATTGCTGTTATCGTGGCACCCAGAATAATGTTTGGCACTGGTGAATACATGCTGGGCAAACAGCTAGCCCGAATTTCCACGCCCCCAAACGCCCCTCAGGCTCACCTTTCAGCCCATGTTTGAGGCAGTGCTCCATCACTACGAAGAACTGCTGCAAGGGGGCATGGTCTGCATCCAGGCTGCGGCCCAGACTCAGAGCAGACTGGAGCAAGACTTTGATGCTGAGTTTCATCATGTGCATCAGGTTGGCACGCTCCTCCATCATCTGGCACTTGGAAGCTGTTGGAGCAGAAGCAGAGACAGCTTCGTTAGAGGACTGTGTGGTCCCGGGCGTGGAGGATCGACGCGGGGAAACCGAGGGAAGATAGGCCAGGCGTGGGGCCAGGCGGTCTGTTCGGAGCGGGGACGTACCGGCGGCCGTAACCAAGGTTCGTAGGCGGCCCCTTATCCTTGTAGGTCACGGCGGCACCTGGGAGACCTGGGCCTACTGTCTGTCTCCAGAGGGCTCGCCCAGAAGTTGCTAGGGAAACGGCCCAAGGAAGGGCGCAAACTCCAGGAAGCCCCGCCCCACACTAGAGGGCGTGCAAGGAAAACGTTCCGCCCCTGGGCATTCTTATTGGGCGAGCCCGAGGCCACGCCCACAGAGCGTGCAGGCGCCATTTTGCGTCTCTGCCCTGGCGGCCACGTTCCGCTTCCTACCCAGGCGGTCTCCCGGGCCTGCTGTTTGGTTCCCTCATGCAGCCCACCAGCCATCGGGGAAGCATCTGCTCCTCAGTTCCGAGCTCACATTCTCGTCATTGCCTGTCTTTTGTACACAAACTGCGAAAATTACGAGTTTTGCACTTTTTTGTAAGTAAAACTGAGAGTCAAATGAACTCGGCTGCATTTCCATTTCAGTTACTTTCATCTCGTCAGTTTTGAAAGTAAAAGTTTGTTTGCACCCAGTATTATACCCATGACATGTGCTTACAAGTGCCTCTTCAAGTCCAGGAAGCTGTCCTAGAAATTAAAAATGTAGACCCCAAATTTTACAGTCCTGGCAGGAAAACAGCGCGGGGCGCGAGGCGGGGACCCCGGGGCCGCTCCGCACCAGCGCGAACGTCGTCTTCCAAATACCTGCCAATTGGATGCAGGGAGGGATTGTATTTAGTTTGGCCTCGTCTGAGTAGTACTGAGGGTAGGCAGCCTCTCATGTTTATTGTCGTTTAGCATTTCTCCTGGGAATTGCCTCTTAAGCCTTTTAACTTCTTGTTGAATTGCCTTTGTCTAACGCATCTGTATATTCTGAATATTAATCCTTTGTTTTATGTCATGGCCATTAATACGGATTATAAAAATAATTAAAAGAGCATATACATGTATAACTAAATCTTGACTATATTGTGACTGAATTTATAATAAAGGTATTGATAAATATTATTGAGACCTGAGACAGACTGGAACTAAAATTTCCACTTTGAGCAAAACCCAAGGCAGCTGTTGAGAAAGAAAAATCGGCCTAAACATTTTATCTGGGTTGTGCGGAGAGAAAAATGGGTTAAGTAAAGCTTTTTTTGAACGGGGTGGTACAATTATTTTAAATTTTCAGAGAATCTTATGAATTACATTTATAAATTTGAAAACTGTACCGAATGGCATAATTGGCAAAGGAAATAATTATAAAAGCTCATCTAGAGAGGGAAACCCTGAATAGGCCAATGACCATAGAAGCAACTTGGAAATATTTACTCCCGAAGACACTGCGCCGGTCCACAAACGAGCGGTCTTCGGAGAGGAATGCATGTACGGCATTCCTGTGCAGGGGTAGGTAGGCCGAGATGATAAAAGGAAGTGTTTTTCCAGATCCTCAGGTTTCACAGGCACACTTTGTTCTCCCAGTTTACAGAGGAACAGCAATTCACTTCCTACCCCGCCTCTGCCTCTAGATGCACTGACCTGAGGTGCAGAAAGCTCAACAAACCAATTGTAGGGGAAGACATGAAGAGCCTCAGATTTCTCACTGCTTTATGTATTTCAGGGAACCTGGTCTTGAGGAAGGGGGTGATCACTAGCCCTCTTCAGGGTAGCCTTAATTTAGAAAGTCAAAATTTTTTTTCCTACTACAGATTGATGTAATTATTTTTAGCCAATCTCAGTAGCCCTCCCTAGGATGTGCCATTAATGTGATGGGCATGTTCCATAAATTGAATAAGGCAAAACTGTCGCTCCAAGTTTTTAATGAAAATGGATTTGAAGTACACATAAACTAAGTCTTCTTGTCAAAAAATACTGTATTGGCAAACATGTAATGAAATAAGCAATGTTTAGGTGTTCAACCATTTTGAGTGTTCTCAGTTCAACAAGGTAACTAAGTGAAAGAATTACAGTATAATTATCATCTGAAGTCCTGGTAAAGCCTTTTCTTGGGAACTTTTTGAGGTTGTGAAATTCCTTTAATATGACGAGGTTGCATCCTTTTGCAACTCAGGTGATAGTCATTTGCTTTGAATAAAAAATAAAGGAACAAAAAAATAATTGTTGACAATAGGTCAGTGTGATTTGGGGCACATTACTGGTAGGAGTTCAAAGACTTGATATCATTACCATAAAAAACTCCATTTCTATTTCTTATATGAACCATGTTCCTCATCCATAATTTCTGTATTCTCGGGGATCATATCCATAAAAAGCCAAAAAACGGATAAAATCTTATCATATTTCATCAGTAAGACATATATATTCATCTGTAGATACATGTTGTGAAAAAACTAACACCAGCTTATAAGGAGAAGCAATTCCAAGAAAAAGTTCATGTATGATAATTATTTATAAAAATTATACTTTCATTCCTTTTGTCACCTTAGCATTACTAATAATTTTAATGGTAATTCATTCCAGGAGAAAAGTATTTTATACACTTCAAGCTTTGGTCACAAGAATTATTAAATTTTAATTTACTTAGAAGTTTTGCTGAGATAGGATGACCAATAAAAATTTTAAAAACATGGAAGTGGAATAGAAATTCAAGTTCAAAGAATGAAAGGGAAAATATAAAGTTTTCAAGTATTTGATATTTTTTAGATGGGTAGTGGCATATATCAAATCATTAAGGTATTTACATACCACTTTATAAACTTAAGAATGATGTGACAATTTAAAAAAAATTCTGTATTTATAATAAACCAGAAAATGTAAACTTTATAATTATGACAGAATTTTATGTCAACTTTAAAAGCTGAAGTTTTTTTTAGGGGATCATGTGAGCAAACACTAAGTTTTAGCTGGTCAGAGCTGGGTGGCCATGGCTCCTACTGTTGCTGGGCAGCTGCGTCTGGGGAGGTCTCTCTCTGAGCACTAGGTGAAGCCTCAACCTGAACAGGGGAGGGTTCTTGACTCTGAAGGAAAAAGAATTCTCAGAATTCTTGAGCAGGTCTGACAAGGGTAGGTAAGGAAGGAATTCACTAAAATGAGAGTAGCAGGGAATGGCAGCTGCCTTGCAGGCAGCAGAAAGCAAGGAAGAACAGAGGGAGGAAAGGGAGGTTCATTGAATTCCTGTTCGGCATGGGACAAATCCCTTGACAACCCCTAAAGCCAGGGCACCTGTTGTCCAGTGTCTGCTTGGATCTGCACAGTGTGGGAACTAAGTCCCTCCCACCCAGGATCTGGGGGAGCCGCAGAGCACTGGATGGAGAGAGATTATGTTCTGAGAACTTCCCAAAGGCAAAGAAAGGAGATTTTCAGGCAGGCCACTTGAAGAGCATGATGGCACAGCTGTGTCCTGTCCGGGTCACCCAGGTGACGGGAAGTTGCGACCCCAAATCAGAGATCTCAGTAGTCCTCCCTACTCGTCTGAAGGATGACAGAGAGGGTGAAGACTTGTGCTTAAGTCTGGAAAATAGAATTAAATAGCAAAGTAGCAAAGACTCTTACCACTGGAAGAGCGCAGAGACAAAATGCATTAGGTTGAGCAGTAAAGTTTTTATTTAAGGCAAAAAATACACACTCAAAAAAAGAGTGCAGGCAACCTCAGAGAGGAGGTGCACTTAAGGGTTTGGGTTTTGGGGTTTTATAGGGCCTTTTGGGTAGGGGTCAACATAAGGCATGATGTATACAGGTGATTCATAATTCCTTTGAAGTTTTGTTTTAAGAATAGGGTTATTTAGGTGACTGGGTTGACCTTGATCTTGGCATTCTTTATCCACATAGGTTCATTTACACTTCAGAGGTCTATCTCCTGTCCTGGTTACTTAATTAGGGGACTGGAAGAAGAGGAAGAACAGCCTATAGATTAAGTTAAAGAATAAACTGGGTCTTTTTCACAGGCTAAGTAGATTTTACGATGTCCCATGTCTCTGCCCTACCTCACTACCACTGTTCCGGGGAACGCGTCAGTGTTGTGCAGCCATCTCATCCATCCCCCTGCTCTGTTAGTCATCTATTTTCATTCATGCTCTATTTACAGAGTTATGGAAAATTCTAGGAAGGATCTTTAAGCTGTTCCATCTCTCAGTTTTACTAGCTTTGTGACCTTGGCCAAGCTATTCACATCTTTAAGCTTCAGTAAAAATAGTTTCAGCACAACACACAAAATGTCACCAAGTGCTACACTTCCTGAATTGCCAAATAAATGGTCTGATCAGGGATCTTGACCTTGACCGTCACACGGGGGTGGGGCCTGGAACATAAAAGAGGAGCCTGTGGGATGATGAGCTGGAGGGAACCTACAGCCCATTTCCAGGCAGCAACCTGGCCAAGGACCAGCCTCTTGCTGGAGAAATGCTGGTCAATGGTGCCGGGTCAATGGAGTTTTCACAAGATGAAGATCTGGATTTTTAGATAAAACCTGCTAATTGGCTTAAAAAAATGCTTTTATACTGTGCAGGATAAAAAAATAATTTAACTATCAGTTAAACAGCTGTCAGTTTGTTGTAACCTTTGGTGTACAGTGTAAGTACTCGGGGTGTGGGCGCTACAGATTTGTTCTTGGGATTCTGAATTATGGAGAAGTGACTAGATTCTTTATAAACTTGACTTTTTAGTTTTGAGGAGCCCTTTGGTGTCGCAAAAGGTCTTATAATACTGTACTGAAAGGAGGAAAACCATTTTTACACTTGCTAGTTTTCAGGAATTTTCACTTATCTCAATAGCATCTCAACTTAAGTTCAGCAACATGAAGTGGAAAAAGTTAATGTGCTTCATTTTGCAAGGAGCTGCACCAGCTGTTCAGGAGCACTTGGCACATGGAAAATACAATTCATGGGAGGGAACAGACCACCTACCTAAAGGCATATATCTGTCTATTTAAATAGTTATGCAATGAAAGAATGCCTTCTTCCGTGAATAACCACGTGAGGACATCACGCTGTGTACGTTAATTCTTAAGAACATGTATGCTTTGTGATACCTCCTTGGGAGGAAGCGCCTCTCTAAACAGCAAGATGTAGAGCCTGGTGTGTGTGTATGTTCTGTGATTTATGTGAAAACTGTATGTATAGAGATGAGTGAGGGTGCTACGTGCATTGACACTCTGAAAAATACAATAGGATTGGAGGCAGTTTCTGGATAGGAGGACATGCTCTATTCTGAATGTTCTATTGTAGGGTTTGGTCTTTTTTTTTTAACCACGTGCTCTTATTACTTAAAAAACAGTAACAACAAAAAACTTAACCAGACAACTCCAAAGAATGCAATCACTGTGGCGTGCTATGGTAGCAGGCCCCACATGGGATGAGATTTTAAAAACAAGTATTCAAAGCAGTCCATCACATCATCCTTTAACCTGTATCACCAAAAAAATTGTGCCTGGCAAGAGTGCTGCTCACCTTCAATCTCTGCCCCTTCACTGCTCCCTATGAAAACCTCTTCCTCACTGCCTGGGTGAGCAGCTAAATGAAAGAGGCAAATGAGCCGGCCCTGGCCTAGCCCTTGGCCCTGGCTGAGGTGGTGGCCACTGTCTTCTGCCTAGCCTTTCTGAGGCCTCTGCACAGCCTGCTGCCCAGGGTCCACTTCCTTTTCCCCACCCCACACCTGTCCTACCTGATGACTTCAAATTCTGGCTACCTTTGGGCACTAGCCACACAGCTTATCCTGGCAGGTCCCCACATTTCAGCCCTTGGTAAGTAATACATGTTCATAATTTTTCCTAGATTTGTGCAAAAATTATTTACTTATTATTTCCTTTAAATCAACTAATTAAAAAAATCCACATGGGATATATTATGGCGTTTTGCTTATAAAGTCAAAGGCATGGAGGCATTGAAGCATTATGATTAAGAGCATGGGCTTGAGTGGCAGCCTGTCTTGGTTCAAGTTCTGGCTCCGTCCCTTTGAACTTTGTCAATTCAGTTTCTCTCTTTGTAAAATGGGGATAAAAATGGCACCTATCACATGGGGCCAGCAACATAGGCAGGGGCCTGGAAGTCAATCTCCCCATTCCCTGATCCCAAGGGGTCATGACTTGCTGCAGGGATGCGGTTATCTGGTTGGGTGGGCAAGGCCCCTGCCCTGCCCAGGTACCTGCCTAAAAGCTGAGCCAGTGCCAGCCTGGGGCAAGGCAGTAGACACCTAGCCCTGCCCTGAGATTCAGAGGGTGTGACCTCAACCCTCCCCAAGCCAGCAGTGGTCCCGGATTGGGGTCAGGGAGAGGTAGGGAGCAGTTCGAGGGGGCCAGGGCAATTGAGAACCTGTCCCAGGAAGGCAAGTGGAAGGTGGGACCACACATGAGCCCGGCTCCAAGGCCCCCAAATGCTCCTTTGTTCCACCGGACTTCACTCCCCAAACACAAATTCAAAGATAAAATTAATAAGAATTTCAAGTGGGGGTTACTCTGAGTGCCACAGTGATTAAAGCCTGCATTAACTGCACACACACCACAAATCCAGTCCTCCTATCAGCTATGGTTACTGTGAGGATTAAATGAATTAAAGTATGTACTGATCTAAGGCTAATACCTGGCACTCAGTAAGCACAGTATCAGTATTAGCTTTAATAGCACTACTATAAATGGAAAACAAGTACTTTTCAAATATGCTTTTGTTCAACAAATATTCTGTGCTGTTCTACGCACTAGCACATTTCATTTGGCAACGAATGGCTAACATTTATCATTGGCTTACTACATGCCATGAACTACCTAAAAAGCCTCTGGAAGACCCCCTGCCTCGACTCTCAGGGCTGACTGCCTAGAGGTGGATATACAATTAAACACTCACTGACTTGCACAAAGGTGGCGAGTTGGTGGGACTAGATCCCTGGGTTGAACAGGCTCTTTTATTACTTTCTAGTCCTAATTTCCTTGCCAGAATCTCAATCAAGCAGGTTTTAAACTTTTCTCTACTCATTAATCTTTCTTAACCACTTAAATTCTCACAATTCACTATTCTAGTACTGCTGGCTGATGACTTCTACAGCAAATCTACCCAGTAGATAGGGAATCAAGAAACCTCAAAGGCACGTAATGCTTCTCAGATACTTAGTCAGCTCGGCCTCAGAGCACTTTCTATGAAGATGGAATTAAATTTAACCTTTAAATATCACAGATGGGTAAGTGGGTATTGTATTCTTAGCACAGTTCTAAATATTGGGCTTTCTAAATCAGGCTCTCAATAGCATGACCATTTAATGTTTTCATTTTTTGACAAAGGCTGAAAAGGGTGATCAGCGATCACTGGGTGAATCAAAAAGTCCCTACTTTACAGGCTGGGAAATGTGGTGAGTCGTCTGCATCACACAGCAAGTTGCTGGTAGGGCTCGCCTGGAACCACCACCTTCGTGCTTTACTCCTGGGTGAGTCGGGATACGCTCCAACTCCTGGAGCTGTGAGCCGTGCTGGCATTTTCAGATTTAAAGGAGAGAACAGTACTGGCTTCATTTCTCAAATACTTTTAAATTCCAGACTACCAAACTTAAGCTCGTACGTTTTCTTAGCCTGGAGTCCACCAAAGAGAATGAAGGTGCCGTCTGGGGCACACGCTAGCAGGGAAGGGTCCCAGTATGGGAGCCGCCCCATCTCAGGCCATCCGACTGCAAGTATTTATCTTGGCTGGGCTGCACGGTGTAAAGAACACAGACGGGTAGCTAGGTGTGTTAACAGGTTGTTTTTTAACGACTCGTCTAACCGGCTCAGGAAGCGAAGCGCACTGGGGCCGCCTGGCTGCCACCGCCAATAGCCGCGGTCCCGCGAGCGCACGCGGGGCGCGCCCGGCCGGAGCCTACCTGCGCGGGCCGCGCCGTCCGCGCCACTGTCCGCGCCGCCCAGGCCCGCGGCCGTGCGCAGCGCGCCTCCGTAGCTCGCCGACAGGTTGCCGGTGGCCTTCCGCGCCAGGGTCAGGATGGGCACCGACCAGCCCTCGGCCGCCGGCCGCGGCCTCGCCGTGCCCCGCAGCTCGCCCGCGCCCGGTAGCTGGCTCCGGTTCACGATCTCGAACTCTTCTCCCGACTCGGGCCCGGGCTCCGGCGTCGGCGCCTGCCCTGCTGGACAGCCGTCCTTCCCGTCGGCCATCTTGGCCGCGTCACGTGGCCCGGCAGACGGCGGACTCGGCACGGGCGGGCACGCGGGTGGCGCGGGTGGCGCGGGCGGGCGCTCTTGGGCCTCCGTCACCGGTTTTATTCGGTTCGCTACGTTTTTCTTCCTCTTTATCTCCCTCGTTTCTTTTGTTTAACTTTAAAAAAGTTTGGGAAAGTACAAATCATCACATAAGAAACATCCACCAACTGGAGGACTTGTTTCTGTGAAGTTACTCTTGGGCCTTGTCTCCTTAAAGGATGCACCCATCTGGCTTAGAACTCAGCCCCCATGACTTCAGATTACTTTGTGACACTAGTTCCTCTTTTTTATTTTCATTTCATAAGTTAGTTTCTCTACTTCGTTAATTTTCCGTGGCAGCCAGCAAAACCAGCCCTAAAAGGGCGGGGAAGGAAACTGGGGCAGGCAAGGCAGGGAAATAGGATTTTTACAAAGAAATTGACTACGACGGCTTAGCAGGAAAGAGCACACTGCAGTGGACTGGTAATCAAAATGTTCAACTTCTGCTTTTTATTAGTTAAACGGTTTAATAGAACCTACCTCAGTATTCAGTTAAGATTTTGCAGTAAGGAGTGCGTGGTAGATGCTAGCAATCGTGATGATGAGACAGGGACCGTGGGTGTGGTCAGAGTAGGGCGAGGGCCTCCGGAAAAAGACCCCTACCAAAACTCCATATTAAACAATTAAAGAGTCACATTAATTCTCTAAAGTAACATATCAAACTAGGAATATAAGCATTCTTTAGTGAAGATTAGTTAAAACTAAAAAGCCAGGAATAACCTGGCCTGGAATGTTTGAACATCCTCCAGATAAGAAAATACCTCAGCATAGCCCATGTCTTGTTTGTGCCAATTAAATGATGCTATTGTAAAATTTACTTTAGCCTGCTAAAAGGCCCAGTTAATCTTTAACTTTGCCCAAATGCTGCTTTTCCTCCTCCAGCCCTAATCAAGTCAGTAACTCAGCTCACCTTGAAAGCAAAACAAGCAGCCTTGACTGATACACTCCCAGACCAAGAAACTGCTATTCTGAGAAAGGATCAAAACAGTACATTTCTTATGTTAACTCCACAAAATAAGCGGAAAAACTGATAAGAAACTTAGTGTCTCTTTGAAAAGAAACACTTAGAGACCATCTGGTGGATCCACATCCCTAACTCTTGGTCTCTCAACTGCCTATAAATCCCCTAGACAGCTCACCACCACGGACTCTCTTGTCCCCTCCTGGCGTGAGCCGGGAGCTCTGTTCTTTCACTTATCTCTAAATAAAAGCCTGTACCTTGCACTCCTACCTTGACTGTTTGTGAAGCTCATTCTTTGGCTTTGTGAACAAGAACCCCGGCATCAATGACTTAATCAGCTAAGTGGCTTGGGCAAGACATTGTCCCCTTGTAGGGAGTTTAGTCTCTTTACTCTTTGGGAAAAGAAGAAAATTTGGCTAAATAGAAACTCAAAATTTTGCTACCATTTGACACTTTGCAAAGTGCCAGGTGGTGGGCCTCATCAAAACTAGGAGAGCTGTTTTGATGACTTCCACAGCTTTTAAGATTTTTTTGAAGTTGTTGCAGATGGTTAGAAATTAAAAGACTTATAAAAATCTGGATTCCAATGTCCTCTCTTGAGACATTGGAAGAGTTGGCAACTCAGAGTATATTCTCTGATGGCAAGAAACTGGAGGAGTGGGCATTGGCTGTCCTTTTAGAAGCCCAGGGTGTCCTGGCTTATTGGTCTAGTCCCCTTCCCTAGTTACAATGATCTGTCTGGTCCATGAAGACCAGTTGTTTTCCATGGGAATGTGGTAGAAGGTGACCAGGGAATTTATGCGTATAGTATTTGAGTTGTCAAAAATGATTGAGGGTGAGATAGGGTGGGGACATGGAACAGGCATCATGATTGATTTTCCAAAAAGCTGAGATACAAACAGTATAGTAAGAACAGGAGGGATTCCATCTTAAGGCTAAGATTCCATCTTGAAAATCAGGAGGTAAGATTCCTAACACATTCTTTGGTAAACATGTTAGAGGAGTGTTGGGTGTTTTCCTCAGTTCTTGTCCCTGCTGCAACAAAGAATTGAGGGGCAGAGACACAGTAGTGAAGCAAAGTAAAAGTTTTATTTAAAGTTACTTAGAGAAAAAGTATAGGTGACCTCAGGGAGGAGAGGTGCCCTGAAAAGTTGGAGAAAGTCTACACACTTAAAAAGTACAGGCGACCTCAGAGAGAGGTGTGCCCTGAAAGGTTTAAGTTTTATTGAAAGAGAGAAAGTCTATGCACTTAGAAATTGTGGGCAACCTTAAAGAGAGGTGCACTGAAAGATTGGGAAAAAGTCAGTTACGCATTTAGAAAGTGTGGGCGACCTTGGAGAGAGGTGTGCACTGAAAGGTCGGTGTCTTGCCAATGGGTTTCAGCTCCAGGCAAGTTTGCTATGGATTCAATGTGACCAAAGAAATTGAAAGCAAAACGTTCTTGGGGTGAAAGGATTATACCCAACTTTATTTCCAGGTGGCAGGTCAGTCACTAGAATCCCATTCACTCAGAACAAGTCTGCATGCAGCAAGCCGGTCTCTGCCTCTGGGCCCCTCTGTCTGCACAGTTGTCCCGCACAGCTGCCCTCTGGGCCTCTGTCCTCGGTGCTGCAACCACTCCAGCCTCTGCTCTGCTCTGCTCACCTGCAGCCTTGCAGCTGTGCCACCGTGTCTCACCCAGAGCACTGGGCGGAGCTCTTTATATACAGTCAACAGCCATGTATTGCCCACAGGTATGCAGTGAGCTAGCCAACTAGGGCCAGGTGAGAATCCTGGCCACAGGAACTCTCATTTTATCCACACTCCACCCCTCCAGGATTCTCTCCTCTCAATCTATGTGCCCTTAGTCCTCTGCAATGGTCCCTGTGCAAGGAAGCTTGAAAATTGTTCTCCAGCCTCTCCAGCAAAAAGTCTTGGAAACACATAGGCAGGACTCATGGCTCTGTCTCTGACCTCTCCCTCTTTAGTCTTAATGGCCTGAACTGCTGCACTGGTTTCAGTTGTTGCCATAGCTCCAGTAAGATCCTATTTGACTTCCCGTCTAATTTCCTTCCATCTACTCCTGCCTGTATTAAATCAACCCACATCTGGGTCCTTGTAACCCTTACGGGGCCCCTCAAATTCCTCCTGTGAGTAACAGGTCTTACTTCTTTCTGGGTTCTCATTGCTTCAGCTACTGTACACGTCACCTTGCATTTTGTAATCCCTGCCTTAAGGTGGGCTGCACTGTCAGGGAAGACAGCTTTCCCATCTCTGATCCTGACAGAACAATTCCATCCACCACTAAGTCCCACAGCCACCAGCTCAGCCTGAGTATAGGGGTGGACCATAAAGTGCTCCATGACCTGGGGAGGGGGCTGCTCCTCTCCCTGGGGAACTTTCAGCTGCTGGGTCTTTATTTTCTTTACAACCACTGGGTGTGCTTTCAATACAGGAGGGGACATTGCCTCCAGCACCACCCCTTCATCCTTCCCCAGCTCCTCCACTTCTGGGACTGATGGCACCTTTCTCTCCACTCCCCCAAGTGCCTCCTCTGTTACAGTGCCTCACAGCAATACTAGCTCAGTCTTCAGAAGGTCTCTTACCTTCACCTCAATGCTTCGCAGCTGACGTTCTTGTGCCACCTCGGCCTGTGCTTCCCTCAGGAGTTTGTCTTTTTCCTTGATGGCCTCTTTCTCCTTCAGAACACCTGGCAGCGCTGCCATCTCGCCTCCAATGGCACCTTGCTGCTAGCACTCTCATGCTGCCTCCTCTCGTCTCAATGCCATCTCTTTCCTCAGGGAATCCACAGAGGTTTTCAGCTCACGTTCTTGTGCTGCCTCCTCCTGCATCAATGCCATTTCCCTCCTCAGGGCATCCACAGAAGTCTGCAGCTCGCTTTCTTGTCCCACCATTTCTTGTGTCTCCTCTGTAGACCCTTTTAAGACTGTGAGAAGCAGCCAACCCACAGTCCCAGCTGCCTCACGGGCACTCTGCTTCTCAAAGGATCTGCTTGCTATACCAAGGACCACCACTACTGCCTCAGGTGTCACCTCCACTTGCCTCCAGCCCTGGGGTGGGGCCCAGTCCTCTAGGAGGCATGCCACCTCAGACCACATACCCACTGGGGGACGATCCACTGTTTCCTCATTCACAGGGGCAGCCCTCTGAAGCACCCCTCCCATAAGGGCAGCTTGTCTTTTTCCTTGGTCAACAATGAACCCTGCCGATTTTTGCCAATTGTCTTACCAATGGGTTTCAGCCCTGGGCAAGTTTGCTATGGATTCAATGTGACCGAAGAAATTGACAGCAAAACATTCTTGGGTGAAGGGTTATACTCAACTTTATTTCCAGGTGGCAGGTCAGTCACTAGAATCCCATTCACTCAGAGCAAAGTCTGCATGCAGCAAGCTGGTCTTTGCCTCTGGGCCCCTCTGTCTGCACAGCTGTCCTCTGGGCTTCTCTACCTGCACAGTGCCCCACACAGCCATCCTCTGGTCCTCTCACTTGCACAGCTGTCCCACACAGCAGTCCTCTAGGCCTCTATGCACAGTAATCCCACACAGCCATCCTCTGAGCCTCTGTCCTTGGCTCTCCTGCAGCCTGGCAGCCCTGCCACTGTGTTGCACCCAGAGCACTGGGTGGATCTCTTTATAGAGTCAACAGCCTTGTATTGCCCACAGGTGTGCAGTGAGCTGGTCAACCAGGGCCAGGTGAGAATCCTGGCCACAGGAACTCTCATTTTATCCACAGTCAGGCTTCCCTCTTTTAAGGATTTTTCAGGAATGTGACCAAGGGCTGGGGGTGCAGACTTATTAAGTGGTCTCCAAATATTTAAAATTAACTTAACACAAGAAATTTACTGTTGTGATTTCTCCCTGAGATACTGGCTTTTTGGTCTGGGAACATATCAAACAAGACTGCCTGCCTGGCCCCCAAGGTGGGCTGAGTTATTGTCTGCTTGCTAAAGAGTAAGAATTTTACTTATTAACTTACTGGGTTTTCAAATGCAATCTTATATTTAAGATGGAATCCTTCTTGCCTTTTACTAGGTTGTTTACCTTATGGCTGGGCCTTATTGCTAAATTAGTTGCCTAGGTTGAAAATTACTTGATTAGGGCTGAAGGAGG